AGTCACACCTTTTTGGAACTTTTAGTCCTCAATGCTCTTCAACTTTGTACTTGTTTTGGCTTTCGAACTTTTTTGATTTGAGCGTCACTGGTTAGTCTTGTGTGGACGAAACGCGCGTCTTGCATATTAAATTTTAAACCTGGTACATTTTGTTAGCTATTATTCGTATGTTTCTCTGTCCTATATGTTCTCCCATTTATTTGTATTGTAGTCCTGTCATGTAATGGTGTCATTTTAATGTTATATTTAACATTGCCATAAAAGCGGGAGGTTTGGCTAGCCACAAAACCAGGTTCAACCCACCATTTTATTCTTAAAATGTCCTGTACCAAGTCAAGAAAATGGCCATTGTTATATTATAGTTCATTTCTGTGTGTGTTACATTTTAATGTTGTTTTTCTGTTGTGTCGTAGTTCTTCTCTTATATTTGATGTGTTTCCCTCAGTTTCAGTTTTTAACCCGGATTTGTTTTTTTTCTCAATCGATTTATGAATTTCGAACATACTACTGTTGCCTTTATTTACCCCCTATGGACCATAGAGGGTTAGTAAAATCCATAGGAGATTCGGCTTCGGCCTTACCTCCTATGGATTTTACTTATCCTCTATGGATCCGTAGGGGGTCAGTAGCAAACTTATACTTTGGCTTTAATATAAAAAAACAGCAATAAAACGTTATTCCTTTGCTTTTTGTGATTTTTGCCGTGCTTGTTCTGTTTTTTGTGTCATGAATGGATGCCCATATCCTTTATTTTCCATTGTGTTTTTTCGTCCACCTTTTTCTACATTAGGAAATGCCTGTACCAAGTCAGGAATATGATAAGAATATGATAGGTTGTTTTCCATTCGTTAGATGTGTTTTGGCTTTTGATTTTGCCATTTTGTAAAGGACTTTCCGATTTGAAATTTTCCTTGGAGTTCGGTATTTTTGTTATTTTACTTTTTGTTATGTATCATTGCGTTGTTCTTGTCCGTCTGTGCGTTTACATAATTTGTTAACTCATTTTCACCTACAAGATGTCAAGGTAGAACATTTATGTCTTGAGAATGATTATCATAATAAACTAGTATAGTGCAAACTGCCAGGTTTTCGAATTTTGTGATCTTTTCAAAAAAAAAAGGTTAGATACAATGTTGTCATTGTTGTTCAAATTTTGTTAGACGGTTTAAAGTCTTAACCCTAAATTTTTCTTACCGTCTAAAGTTAATATGTACTCTGGTGCAGAATATATGTACACGAACTAAACATTTTTGTTATTAATTATTTTTATTTAAAGGCATACGGTAAACAAAGTTAAATATTTGTTGATTTTTTTCATAATACACTGTGCACAATTGTGCTTAAATCCTTCCCCAGTTTTCTGGATTACTATGTTCGAAATTTAACATACACTCGAAAAAAAAAGGCGATACTTAATTTTTCGAAATACTAAGGATTTTCTTATCACAGGAATAGATTACCGTATTCAGCACAACTTTTTGGAATTTTGGCTCCTCAATGCTCTTCAACTTTGTACTTGTTTGGCTTCATAACTATTTTGATCTGAGCGTCACTGATGAGTCTTATGTAGACGAAACGCGCGTATGGCGTATTAAATTATAATCCTGGTACCTTTGATAACTATAAGGATACATTCAGATTCAAAACTGGAATTAACGCCATGGCAAACAACGAAAATCGACGAAAAGACGATCCAGTCATCAAAAATACTACGTAGAAAGGTCGACTTTACGGTATGGATTTTCTCATTGTTAAAGGCCGTACGGGTGTCTATAATTGCTAACAACCATTTCATTTGAACTTTAGTGGATATTTGTCTCATTGGCAATAATACCACATCTCCTTTTTTTTATATTACCAAAGCAATGTAGATTGTAGTTAGGATTACGATTTTTTTTAGTTTATACAAAATGACTGATATTATACTTCCATTATAATTGATAAAACTATTTGCATAATGATGCACTTTTCCCACTCATGCTCTAAATTTGCAAACCTTCTTAACAGTTGTTTTCCATTCGTTTGATGTGTTTGAGCTTTTGAATTTGCCATATGATAAGGTTCTTCCCGTTTTGAATTTTCCTTAGAGTTCGGTATTTTTGTTATTTTACTGTTTGCCACTTTCTTTTCATTTCTTACGTTTCAAATATTTCACGTTTACAACAATCAATCAATTACTCAATCAAAAATTTCATGAAAACATAAATCTATTATGACCTGAAAGTTGAATCTATTAATTATTTCCCATTAGAATCAACTAAAAACCAGTAAACGATCAACTCGTATATATTTCCAGATTCAAATTATTACCAGTTCATACCGTAGTTTTAAGTGTAATATGTACAGACAGATTTATTTTTCTGATTTTCATGTAGGCCCTCCGAGGATGCCACAAATTACTAAACTTGAGAGAACACCCTATGCCATTCTCGTTAAATGGGAACCGGGTTTTGATGGTGGTCATCGAACAACGTATGATATCGAATATCGAAAAGTGACGGAAATAAAGTGGGATAGGATCCACATTAAGGAAAACAATCTAAACAAGTTTTTTATAGCAGATCCAAATACTGACTACTTGGTACGAATGAAAGCATTGAACAATATGGGACACAGTAGCTTCACAAAAGAACACACTGTTTCTACGGAAGGTAAACACTTGTTCATACATAAGGCAAACGTTTTCTCTTTTGATATGTTTTACATTTGCTCCTTTTTTGACCGTACCTTGAACTAAAGTTGCTAACTTCTACGTCAATTAATCTCTGGTGGAAAGTTGTCTCATTGGGAACATACCACATCTTCTTATTTTGCAATATGTGTTACTTATTACTTAAGTTGAAACAAACCTTCATCACTAAGGAAAAATTATAAACTAGTTAAAACGTATATATTGTCACGAAACGAGCAAAGTTTGCCTCTGATGGTGCATGAATTTGTCTCATAGAATCAGGTATAGCCCTCATTATTCGTAGTAACTTAGCATTTGATACTAGAGCCATTTCGTTTACGTCTTGATCATAACATGAATTAAATATAGTGGTTTTTAAAAGTGTGTGGTATAATTGATCATTTTAATTTCACTGCCGATAAAACGTAATATGCTATGCTGAATAAAAGGATATAATTTTTGAGATTTGAAATCAATGTAATATGAAATGCTTTCTTCGATTGAATGACGTCTGCCGTCGGTTCACAGTTGGAGGCATTGGCGAGGACGTTTCGCAGTCGCAGTCGACGTTTCCGAGAGAATTGAAATGTTTTATTTTGAAATCATTTGATCAATACTGATCTTGAAAAGGAATAACAGCACTGTGTTTAAAGAATTGCTTCCAACAATTTAGGATTTTAATATCGCCAATAACCGTTTTACTGGCTCCGCTCCGTGTCGCCAGTTGAACTGCTTTAAATGGATTACCTTTGAGAAGGAGTTTAAAAATAAGTGTAGGTCATTTTTGATTAGATGCAGTCAATAGGCAACGTAGGCCTTGTGTGGGTTCAATGTACATAAAACTACACATTCAGAATGTCAATTGTATTATCAATATTTAAGGACGAAACATCCATCGAAAACAACTGTTTATAACAATATTATGAATTAAGTTGTATATATAGCGATTTATTTGGCAAACACACAAAATAATGTTCTGTTATTTAAAAACAAAAGTTTAAGAAGCCTTATTACTTAGTAATCCCAATAGACCAATAGAAGCAATTTCACAGCAGTAAATCAACTCTGTGTGTATAACGGTATCAGTTTCACTGCAGCAGATCAACACTGTGTTAATATTTTATAGGCTTAAACATATGCAGATAAGTACATTATGTAAAACAATACGAGGTTAGCCATTTCACTCCCATTCTCTTTAAAGGGTAGGGTTTATCTTAACGAATTGAATGAGCAAATGTCTGCTAATATTATGATGGCTTCTGATCAATAATGAAATAAATGTATAGTAAAATAGTAAATCGGTAAAGGTCTGAAAATTAAAACACAAGTAGCATGAAATTGTAATTTATTGTCATATTGGTTTCATTAGATGGAAATATTATCAAAACACATAATACTATATAAGTTAGCATACCGTTCATTGTATTTTTGCAGAATATACTAATCATCACATGGGAAGCAAAAAATCCATAGCAATTTTAGTAATGTTGTTGTTTTTGTGTATAATGGCAGTTGTGTTCGGTCTGAGGTATTGTAAGTAATATCATAAAATTTTTTATTGGATTGTTAAATGTTCAGAATGGAGAGTTTTATCCTATAAACTAGCGAAAAAAGAATTCTATTTGCATTGCATAATATACATATATTATTAAATACTGAGAAGGTACACATAATGTGCGTATTAAAACTTCAAAGTATATGACTTAACGTAGAAATGTTTTGTCTATTAAACATTCAAAATATGACCAACTTAATTTTTGTTTTTTTCAATTTTAAATAAAATTCAAATTGTGTGTTGTTCACTACCTTTGATATGGAAACTTATTCAATCGTATAAAACAAACGAATAGGGAAGTTTGAAAAATAAAAATTGCAAATAGACACTGCCGGGATGCGTCGACCATCATATCGCCCGTCAATGATCAAACGGTATAGCAATACATTGGTATGGAAGCTGACACTCTTCTATAGTATTATCCAAAAACTAAGTATCAAGTATGTATAATCTGAGAAAAAATGAGTTTGTGGCATATATATATATATATATATACATAATTCTAGGAATTGTTTATAAAACAATGCGCCTTTGAAATTTCACAGAATTGTATTAAAATATAACAAGCATTAATCCAAATCACTAGTGTAAACACATTTTATCAAATAGTTCGTTATCTTTAACATGTACAACTACAAGAATAAATTAAAACGAAGTTAGGATTTTGAAACAAAATCAGTGCACTTATATCAATCAATTTATCAATAAAACATTATAATATAGACTTTTCGAGGAAGATTCCCTCATTAATGGCATTTGTGATTTCATTTTTCATCAGCTATAAAGAACAGACGATGTTTTGGCAGATACAAAGACAGGTATTAGTTTTCCGAGTTTTACCGAATCTCGACGCGATATAGCCTTTTTGTGCTGATGCGGCGTAAAGCAATCACCAATCAATCAATCAATAAATCCGAATTGTACTTCCTTCTGCGTTAATTGTGAATAAAAAATAACAGAGCAGCAATACAACGTGGTAGTGGTATGACGAAAAAACATCAAAATAAGATGTAAATTTTATACAATCAAGATCGTACGCTCCACGGAGATTCAATACAAGTAGACAATACTATCATCCCCATTTCTCAGTTTAATGCCGTATCTGAAGGTCACTACTGTGTTTCGCATTCCGCAAGTGCAAACAATCCCCGAAAATACCGTTCTCTCTCAACTTCTAAGTGTATCCCTACTAATCGCTGTATCCGTTTATGAATCACATTATTTATCTTCAAATTTTGTAACGCGCGTGTTGATATTTTCTTGAATAAAGTGATTCCTCGTATACATGTACCTTGAAATTTTAATGACGCAATTGAAAAAAAATTCATTAGCATTTTCCCACACTTGTTTTTAAAATTATTTTGCAAAACACCTAAAAATCTTGTTTTTTTAAATTAATTTGGATTTATTCATAAGCATCACAAAATTTTTGTATTTTTACCTGCCATCTTTCGTTTGTTAATTTATGCGCAGAAAATAGGAACTGCTGACTTTAATAAATTTTGCTATTTTCGTAATTTTTTTGTTAACGATAGTTAAAAATATATTATATTTGTTGAGTATCTGTTACGTTTAGTGTTTAACTATAGTATCTTAATTGATAGGGTGACTCCATTACAAAGAAATGAGGAAACATCTGTAATACCAGGCCAGTACGATGAAATTGCTAGCATGTATTATAATCCAATTAACAACACGATTTCATCTCAGAACCACAGAAACATCGCAGAGCTTGGAATACATCAACTGTCCAATAGGACGGACAATTTTGAAAACGATGATACAAATAGCAGTTCTTACCAAAGTATAACGACATGTACTGTCCATCAGGTCAAATCTAGTCAGGAGAATTATTCAGCAAGATTATCAACGGATGAATCCTATCTTCTACCCTGTAGAATGTCTAATTTAAGTGATAACAGCGAAACAAATATTAAAAGTATTCAAAGATATGAAACACTGAACTTTTCGGATATAAAAGAAAATATGTATACTAACTACAATGTCACCGACACATAACAGAATCAGCAATGTGTCCGTTTGCAGAACAATTTCCAATTTTCTCAGGGGGATTTAATCAGGTCGCATACAGTGTGTCGACTGTCAGTTTTGACTGAAATTGAAAACAATAAATGACTAAGAAAATTATACTAGAATTAATTATTTTTTTTTTTGTATTATAATTTTTATTCTAAATTTTTATTCTTGTATTTTTTTTATTTGTCGTTAATTTGTATTCTTGTTTTCCAATTCAATTATTTGGTCCTAATGGCGGTGTGGGGTTGCAGTAGTTAAGATACTGAAATCATATGATTTGTACAGTTAATATGTCCACTTTTATATTTTGTATCATCTTGTTTGTTCAGTTTAATAACACAATTTCGACCTTTTCAGTCGATGGCCATCCAGAATAGTCAAATTATTAGCTAAGGATTGTTTTTCCTATGGCATTAGTAAGGAAAACAACTCTCACACGTTGAAAATTCAAGATGTCCATCGACCGAACAATGCACTGAACAAACAATTACTAGAATTTTAGAAAGTCAGGGAGCAACCAGCAATTTCGCAATTTTCAGACTTTTTCAATGTTAATGATTTTTATTATTAAAGTGCAACCATGCAGATGATATCCGATATTCAAAGGATGGAGAACATTTGACGTTGTTACTATCAGAAAGAGAAACTGGGAGGACTTAGTAGAAACTTCATAATTGCCAACGCTATAGGATCGTGATTTGGACCAAACAGAAATATTTCTCAATATTATGGTGTTATAAATGATGATGTCATGCATTTCAGTTTTTATTAAATGTCAGTTTATTCCTTTTTTATTGATGATTTTATTATGTTTATATATTTGGTCATTGTTGTTAAGTTGCAATTAATAGCTGTATAAAGTATTTTTGTTAAAAGTGTCAGGTATATACCCAGCGTACAATGTACAGATAATTGCATAGTATGAAATGGCACATAAATAACTATAGACTGCGCAACTTACGATAGGAAATATTCCGTAGCACCTGAGATCACTCCCAGTTTTTTGTTGCGTTGTTGTTGCTCATTCTATAGTTTTTTATGTTGTGTTTTGTGTCTGTTGTTTGTCTTTTGGTCGTTTTTTGTTTTTTGCCATGGCATTGTCAGTTCGTTTTCGACTTATAAGTTTAATTAATTTAGTATGTTTTGCCTCTTTTTTCGCCTCGGATCTGTCCAAGTATATAAAAAACATACGAAATTGCATGCGGACACAACGAAACCAGAACAGGTCCGTTCGCAAAGTAATTTAAATCTTTGACTTTTATTCAGCGATTCCACTGTCCAGTGGTAAGTGTAAATGCGAAATTTGAAAAATGTGTTAAAATGTGATCGATTCGGTGGCGATGTAAAATATATGGACAGATAAGAATGTCAGAAGAGTGGTAAAATTGAGACACTGTAATTCATAACCAATTCGTAACTTATATCTAATGAAACTATCCACGAATTGGAAGCTGACAATAAACTTAAAGCATCCAGTTCGTCGTAAATTCTAGTTTTATTTTCGTGAAAAGGGTTTAGATAAACATAAATCAGGCAGTTGGTTTTCTCTTCTGAATTGTTTTACATTTGTCACCTCGTGGCCTTTTATAGCTGACTATGCGGTATGGGTTTTGCTCATTGTTGAAGGCCGTACCGAGAGTTATCTCCTTGGCAATTATACCTTATCTTCCTATTTTTCTTTTTATCTGTAAACATTATTATCCCAATATCATATATAGACAAAGGCCGAATAAGTAGATCTAAGTCATTTTCACAGAAAAGTCTTTGAATATACATCAACAAATAATAATTGGCATTCCTATGGGAATCAACTGTGTTCCTCTTCGTGCCGACAGGTTCCTTAATTTTTTATATGGTTGACCTCATACAGAAGCCTCTCAGAAAGGATGGAAAAAGCTAGTTTTATCCTTTAATTTACCCTTCCGCTATATAGACGATGTCATCTCACTAAATAATTCAAAGTTTGTTGACTATAGTTTGTTGACTATGTTGAACGCATCTATCCCATTGAACTTGAAATAAAGCATACAACAGATACAGTTAAGTATGCCTAATTTATTGACTTACATGTAGAAATTGACGATTGGGGTCGGTTGAGGCCTGAATTTATGACAAAAGAGACGATTTCAGCCTCCTAATTGTGAACTTTCCATTTCTATGTAAAAAAAATTGCAGCAGCGCCTGCATATGGAGTATATATCTTCCAGCTGATATGATATTCCAGGGTTTGCATTTCCTATTGGAACTTGATATCGGATGTTTACCTGCATAAGCAAGCAGGTTGCCACTCGTAGAGCAGGAAATGCCCTCCCTTCATATCACCCGAGTTTTCAGGTTGTGTTAGTGAGATTCTTGTTGTTCAATCTTCAGTTTTCCATGTAATGTGATTTTATCGTTTCTTGACTTTTCGTCGTTTTTCAATCCTCACAATTTTGTTCAGTTTGACAATCAGAAAAGACTAAAATGGGGACTATTAAAATGGGGTCGTTGTAACATATCTCATATTAATTATGTGGGGTATGGGGTATGTGAAAATGCTGACTCAAGATTTTTTTTTTTTAACTTTTATAGGTAAGGTTTAAATGTTTTATGTTAGAGCTTTCAATTTTTATATTAACATGCAACCATTAATTGAGATGGGTTCTTGGAAAGTTTAATATTTTATAGCTAACAGGACAGAAAAGTAGGAATGTAATTGGTCTTGCAGTTTATTGATTGCACATTATCAAAACTTTTATTTTTTTAAACTTTTGGTTTTAACCAATGGTATATATGAAATCCACTTAATGTTTAGGTTCAGCATCCAATAATCAATTCAAAAATTGGATACGAGTTAAAAGTAATAGCAGATGCACACAAATTAGATCAAATAACACCTCCTTTATTCGTTCGACAATCTTACAGTGTCGTTTACTGTAACAGATTGAGGACTACGCCAGATCATGGGCTAAATGAGAAGTTGAATTGTACACTTTGTCAGAATGGGCCAAAACAATCAGGTATTTGATAAAACGTCGAATTCATAAGTTGCAAAACTGTGTAAATGATCGACCAAAGTCCGTTTTTAGAGAGAACGAAGCTGTGAAATGTCATCATCTCTTCACGATACATATGTTGTTATTTCTGCGGGCAAAGCTTCAAATGGTATTGTCTTTGTATGTTAATCGTACTACTACGAGTGTCTTGTGAAAGAATTAGGAATAAATGAGCACTCAGGTAATTCATATACATTATATACAAAAAACATTCCATTTGACAAGGATGATATTTTTGCGAATCATAAGTTCTTCATGGCTTAAACGAACATTACATTGAGCAGCAAATCGGAGAACTTACCTTGTTTGTATTGGATACCAAATATTCACAAATTCCGTACAAACAACGGTACATAGCCGGCTCATCTGCATGTTCTATAAAGGAATGGTCCTTTAGATGGACAAAAATTCTGTCCGCAGTGAAAGAAGGTCTTCAGAAATACTGTGACACTGTTTACTGAAAAATCGTCTAAAAGAAATAATCCACAATGCTTTTCAATATAAAAATGTTGCATACGCTATAAAATTTGTTGCTTTTGGATACCATACGGCATATTTTGTTAATAGTGAACAAAAAGGTAAAACATGCTACACAGAGGAACAAGTGATCATTATGCTGGAGTTTCTTATTGACAACATATCTGTTGAATTTGGAGGTAGACTTTTTAAAAATAAATTGTTTTTTTTACTTTTTATTAGGTACTATATAAAAAAATCATACATTTGACTCTTGGTGTCATCCCAAAATTTCAACAGCTGTCCGTCAGTTTATATACTTTTGGGTCTTTGACCAACATGTCCATCAACTGCAATTTAACCCAAAATATCATGGCTTATTGCTTACATAATTGACGTTATTATCAACTTCTAATTGTATTATTGTCTAAAGAAATACGAACAGAAAAGCAACATTCCAAATCATTATTTTCACAAAATTTTTTAAATGATATAACTTTACGATCAAGACTACTTGGTTGTAAAATTTGTGTGCTAGCTGCAACCTTTTTTTTGCAAGGAAATTGAGATAACCCTTGATCTCGTATCACCTGAGTAAATTAGGTGTTGCTTGATATCTCAACAAGTAATCGAAAGTTGGCAATGGAAAAAAATTGTATCTTATCAATCGTGAATTATAGTTCTCAACCAATTCATATTGTAAGATAGAATATACTCCATATGTAGGCCTGCTGTAATGTTTCTCAATACAAATTGAAAATTTATAGTTTAAAAACTGACATCTTCTCTTTTGTTGTAAAGTTTAGTTGTCAACCGAACTCATTGTCAATTTTGAGATGAAGTTCTAAATATGAAGCAGATTTAACTGTATCTGTTTAAGTTCGATGGGATGAATGCTTTAAACATAATCGACAAACTTTGAATTATTTCGTGAGGAGGATGTTATTTATATTGCGAAACGTGAAATTAACGATAATGCTAAATTCATTTAAGTTTTCCTTAGAAGTTGTAATGGAAATGCCGATCGATTGTTTGTTGAAAACACGTTCTTCAAACATAACCTGATGTCTTGGAATGCTGAATTGTTTGTCGGGAATTGTTGCTAATAGCTTTCCAAATTTCGAAGCGCCAACCAAAAGAAGGTACTCACGTCCGGATTCTAAACACATCCTTTACGAAATTGAATCGCGGAATAAGGAAAGTCACTTTTGGTCATGCATGTACCGAATTCATCTGCACTTATTTGATGACTGATTTTACTTTCGGTCCTGTAGTATTGATTAAATGAATATATCTCGGAGTTCGAAAAGAAGAAAATAACAAAAATACCGAACTCCAAGGAAAATTCAAAATGGAAAGTCGCTTATCAAATGACAAAATCAAAAGCTCAAACACATCAAACGAATGGAAAAACAACTGTCATAGTCCTGACATAGTACAGGCATTTCCTGATGTAGAAAATGGTGTATTAAAAATACCTTTGTATTCAAAATGTAACCTACATGTACTCAAAATATACTGTTGGAAAGAATTTTAAAGAAACCTCGGGAATCCGATTCTAGTAAATATATGGAAGATATTTATTTTTTCCAAATCAAAATTTTTTAAGAAACAAATCACTTCTTTTATAAAGTACGTACAAATAAAAAGAAGATGTGCTATTATTGCCAATGAGACAACTCTCCACAAGAGACCGAATGACACAGAAATTAACAACTATAGGTCACCGTACGGCCTTCAATAATGAGCAAAGCCCATACCGCATAGTCAGCTATGAAAGGCCTCGAAATGACAAATGAAAAACATTCAAACGAGAAAACTAACGTCCTAATTTATGTACAAAATAATGAACGAAAAACAAATATGTAACACAGCAACAAACGACAACCTCTGATTTACAGGCTCCTGACTTGGGACAGGCACACACAGAATGTGGCGGGGTTAAACTAGTTTGAAGGCGCCAACTCTCCCCCTAACATGGGACAGTGGTGTAACAGTACAACCTAAGAACAAACTATAAAAATCAGTTGAAAATGGCTTAACTCATCAGATGGATACAAATAGAAATACATCTAACAAAACACAGAGTGGACGTGGACGGGTACTTGTACATCAAAACAACAAACAGACTTTAAGTACACATCTGAGAGTACTCGCAGTTACTGACAGCTAGTTCAAAGCCAATAACAACTAATAAAAAAAATCATGCATCTAAGACTTAATTATCAATGAGTACATCAGCTTATCGAGACTATTCCATTTAGATAAACGTAAATACATTATAGCGTTGATTGTAGTTTTCGAGATTATAGGCAAAAACTCGCATGTTAGTCAAAAATTGTTGTGAAGATCAATTCGTTCTCCAAAGAGTCACAAAAATAGTCATTAAAGGTACCAGGATTATAATTTAATACACCAGACGAATGAGTTGTATAATATTAGCAGCAATGACGATCTTGTATTGCCGATCATGTTTGCATTTTCAGTTTCCACGTATTAAATAGATTTTTTGAAATAATAGGCAAAAAAATAAAATTAGCCAACAATCATCATTTAAAGGCAATTACTTATTATGGTCAAGGTACGGTAAATGAGCTTTGCCACAGATTTTGGTACAATTTCGCGTACAACATCGACACGTTTAACTATAACTGAAAATGTAACAAAAATTGCAGTTATCTCTTTTATTTGTTAGTACTATTTAAAGAATTCTTTCATAATATGTGAACATTAGTATAGAAAACACATCAAATCGGCAAAAAACAATCTTAAATTTGTCAAATCACGAATTACCAGTGCATAGATTTTTCTTACAAATTGATATGAATTTGATACATTACATTTCTGTTTAAGGATTAAAATATCAATAAAGTCACTTACTTTTTGTTCGGTATGCATCAGTCATGTTTTATATCAATCAAAACGGTTAATTTCTCAACAACATATCAACCAAACCAATGGTTTCAGTCATATAAGCAATTTTGTTGATCTTCTATTGCTACTCATTTTACTGTTTACAATTAATATATTTAACTGTTATGTTATATAAGTAGCCGTGGTGACTATGTTGATTAATATACAGGAACAAAAAACACAAAATATACAAGATACACAAAGGATTCTTTATCTTCACTCTGAAAAAAAAATTGCTCCTGGACCAGTGGTTTCAGAGAAGATGATTTTTGGAAAAAGTTTTAGATGACGATGTCGACGGCTGTCAAGTGACAGAAAAATCTTTCTGAGCACACATCACCAAGTGAGCTCAAAAGCCGAACAAAGTATTGTCACATTAGTTCATAACCAGGTGAAAACTTGAACTGAATAACACGGTTAAGTCAAACTTAATTTAAGATTTCTAAAAGATACATACGTAACACAAACCATTGTCTCATTAAGTTGTGATTTAATTTATAAAGCACTTAGTACAATGTAGTATGAGTCCATCTCAAGGACAAGTGTACGGGAAACATAATGTCTTCCGCATACTTATGTTGTTTAATACTTCATTAACATTTTATCAACTAATGTTGACATTCATCATCCCACTTCAAATTACCGTTCAAAACAAAATAAAATAAACTTAACTGATTTGTGAGTGGACCATAAGTAGTTTGATTTAAACAAGAAGATTTGTTATACTTATTCGTATATAAACGTTATAAGGATAATATATATAACACAAACAACGGAACGCAAGAATCGAGCTTCAGTACCAATTTTTACTTTTGCTTTTAACATTAAATGATGATCAAAATGTAAGGCATCAAAACACTTCATCAAACAGAAATGACACATGTTTTATGATATATCTACAATAAAAAAAAAACATTATTGTTATTTTTTTTACAAAGTTTGAATGACATGGATGGTAATTCAACGTAGCTTCATCATATTAATATAGACTAATATTTCAAATGAACCCTGATTCTACATGAGCTTTTCCCAATTTAGGAGGGTTGTCGTCTGTTGTTGTTTATATCATATTTGTTTTGTTTGAATGTTGAAGGCCATATATAGGCAAAATTTGCTCACGTGAATTGAACATGCAATTAACGTGAAAATGTTCACGTGAGATTCACCTGTTCACGTGAGATTCACCTCAAAGGAGCTTATACATGAAACTCACATGAATTTCACGTGAACTTTACAAAAAGAAAATTGGTCTTTTTCATGATTTCGATTAAATTTGAAAATTTAGATGTTATTTGAATTACCTTATTCTAAAAATTCACGTGAATTTCACGTGAAAACAATTCATGTGATTTTCACGTTTAATTTACGTGAAACTCGCATGAACTGATTTCACATGAGTTTCACGTATAAGCTCGCTTGAGCATATACTAGTATTTCTCTACATGCGGCACCCGTCATATTTGCTCATGTAAGTACAAAACCGGTGATACGTCTAATTTAGTAGATCACATTTGAGGAAAAGTGGACGGAACTGAAGACACGACTATTGGAACAAATCTGTCGTTATCTGTGAAACAGATGTTCCATAACGGTCAACCAACTCGTGATGGTATTCAGAAAGTTTTCGAAGAGATGATTTCAACTTCACTACGTGGAACTCTGGTTTAATAGCTTCCTCGTAAGCAGTAATCCTCTTTAAGGAAATTATGATAGGAAACTCAAGCCCTGGAATATCGTATCAACTAAGAGATATATACGTCATATGCAGGCGCTACTGGAATATTGCTACATAGAAATGATAAGTTCGATGGGATAGATGCGTTAAACAAACTTTGAATTATTTACTGAGAGGACAAAAAGTCATCATCTATATAAGGATAATGCTAGCTACTTTTCATTGTTTGAGAAGCTCCTATATAAAGTCAGACTCATATGAATAAAGGAACAGGTCGACAAGAAAAGTAGCACAGTTGGTTCCATTTGAATGTCGATGTTTTCTAGAAAAACATATCGTCCAAACGTAATAAATATTTTGTCAATCGGGAAAACAAGGGTCTTGATAATGTCTGTTTCAGAGAATTTTTTGTTTGAATCAGAAAGATTTTTTACAGTACGATGTATCCCTCCCTAATAAAAAATACTTTTATCCACGTTTGCCATTCTTTATGGCACAAAGCAGGACAAATCGTCGTTTTTAGTTTGGAATTTGGGAATTCTTGTGTAATGGGTAGAAAAGGTAAATATCTTAATACTACTAGTATTGCAAAAGGAAAGATACTTAGATTGTATGTACTCTAACAGATCTTTGGATTTTTAGTATCCACATCTGATTCACGCTAGAGTATGTAGTTTCACAATAACATTGAAAACTAAAAATACAACATATTATATAGGCACTTATGAAGATGTTGACGAATGCTTTTGTGGTATGGTTTATTTTTGGGTTGCTGTTTTATCAACACATGTCTCCTTTTATGAGTTGTAACTCGGGGTTTTACATTGTTGTGCCGATCAACCAAATTAATCATGATGATGTCAATTATCAGCTACAAATGATGAATAATTCACATTGAATCAGTTTATATACGGAAATATTAAATAGAAATAGTAATATATCCAACGGAAAATACATGACATCATCAATACACAGGAAAAGGAAATATTCAAATGTATTTAAAAATGACAACAGAATCAAATGAAAGTGTCAGGTAATTCATTTTAATTTTTAAATTATTTGTACATATTTATTTTCATTTATGCATAACATCAATCATTATTGGCTATCAGCTGTCTTGTATGTTTGTCAATCTGTATCTTTTGACACTCTACTTAATACAAGTTCACCTTCTTCTTATGGACGGTTATGTTTGGAAATATTGTTCTAGAAGCCTTAAAATATTTACAAGTATGTTGGTTTTCCCGTTTGAATGGTTTTACACTAGTAATTTTTTGGGGCCCTTTATAGCTTACTGTTCGGTGTGAGCCAAGGCTCCGTGTTGAAGACCGTACTGTGACCTATAATTGTTTACTTTTTTAAATTTTGACTTGGATGGAGAGTTGTCTCATTGGCACTCATACCACATCTTCTTATATCTATATATGATAAAAACCTACAAATTCATATTATTTATACTTATTTGAAAACATTACTCCCAAATTGCTTCCTATTGATTCATGCTCTTTTTTAAACATTTTTTTTTGTCGTAGAGCCGCAAGTGAAGGCATTTATTTGTAATTTTAAACGAGTCTTTTATTTACGACAGTTAATATATATATATTCAGAATATGATGATTTGAAACATTAAACAATTTTTATTATACAAAATTTTTTTAATATCAATATTATCAACGTAAAAGTTAAAGGTAAGTAATATTTAGTTTAAAAATATCAACAATTTACATAGGTGATTTAAAAATTTATTACTCTACCTAAAGTAAAATATAAAACCCTAAAATGAAGCTGAATGCTTTTTAATCTAAGAAAATAAATATAAGTCAAACATATTATTTTCATTGGTGTCCTTTATATGTATCGATTTCATCCGGGTACCCAACAACACAAATCAAACATAAGTGGAATATAGTGGTATGTAATAAAGAAAAGCCAATTTGACATTATATATGTCGTGTACTTGTTATTATTTCATACAAGTTATTACTTGTACAAAAACTTTGTACAAGTAATTACTTTTACGATGCCATCATACAAGTTATTACTTGTACAAAGATAATTGTACAAGTAATTAAATCATTCATCGTATGTATTTTTTTAAATTTATATTGTGTTTGTTTTTCCTTTTTTCAAGTGTTTATTAGTATTGATTTTGAAATGTTAGAAGGTTACAGACGACCGACGGACGCAAAGTAATAACCTTAGCTAACATGACACCTTGATCACATTGAGCTTAACAGCTTGTTGTCACTTAAATACGGACTACTGGTGCAAGGTGACTAAGTCGTTAAAAGGAAAAACAAAATGAAACCCTTCTACCATTTATTTTCAAACATAAATCATGATAAAAAGTTGCATATATGATATCATATATTGGAAACTCAAACAAAAGTCAAGCATAATAGATCAAATAAACTATTTGTTTGTACAAGATTTAGGACAAGGAAGCATGACATCTGGAATTTGCCTGTCTTACAGCCACCCCGACAGCTGCAGTGAACATGGCCTTAACACCACTTAAAGAAAGCAATTATACTGCTTTTCTGACGTTAACCTCAGTGTTCAATGGTATGTCCAATATTGTCAAATCCTTTCTCTGAATCTTTTCGATTTGATTTCGACTCATTAATTAAAACCAATCATGATTCCAACTTTTGTTCCTATTTTGTATCTATTTTCTGCAATATTCAGCACAACACCATTGATATTTATACAGTTCATCGGACTTCGGTCTACCCTTTTTACTGGTATTAAATATTTTCTCCAATTTTTAACTCTTTTGATATTCTTTTTGAAGAAGACAACATATCATCAGCCTGTATTTGTTGGCCTGACAGGGCTCGTTTTCTTGCACGTACTATTTTGAAGTTCGTGTCTGTGTCAACACCAGTTGCAGTGCTCGTACCAGTTGCAACATTGGTTTCAGTGTGTGTCTCCACATTGGTGTCGGTTTCAGTGTTTGTGTCCAGATCGGTTTCCGTTTCATCGTCGGTTTCGGTCTCAATGTTTGTTCTGACTTTTTGGAACTTATTTTGGCTACCTTTACATTACCAATAGTCTCTCTGTATCTTTCACGTGTGAATACTGAATTATTTGAAGATTTATTGTCATCCCACAATTTAATTATATCATCATGCAATTTCTTTTCTACTCTGTTTTCCACTTTTACACCTCAATTGTGCCTACTAAACTGAACAGTTTTGCTCACGTATTTGTTAAATAAATACCTTTAGGCTTAGTAATAAATTATTTCTTGAAAGGGAAAAGATTTTTTGTGAACATCAAATAGGCCAACGTAGAATAATAATTTGTACAAGGAATAACTTGTATGATGGCATCATACAGGTAATTACTTGTACACAATGTTTGTACAGGTAATTACTTATACTTATACTTATACAAAATAATAACATGTACACGACATATACAATGCTTTTATCAAGAGACGACATTTCTTCCAAGTTCCTAACTGGAATAGTTAAAGTTACATTTGACATGTTAAACTTTGTAGCTGTGAGATTAGGTGTTTCATAATTAAATTGACTAGCTTTTGTATTGTGTCTGTGGTGTTTTCTTATTATCAGAAATATTAAAATAAAAAAACAAGACGGGCATGTATTAATTAAGATATAATTAGCATGATTCCAGGATAGTTATTTTATTCTAGTTTCAACATTTAAAATCCAAAACTAAATAAATAAATATTGTATACTAGTTCTTATACCCGTGCTTTTAATTAAACGAACTGTCTTGTTATGTGACATTTGTAATTTGTTTTTCAAAGCTTTAGATATACCCCCGCATACCAGGAAGAACAGTAATAATCAAATTGACCAAAAACTTTTAACCTGAAGCGGGACAGACGGACGAACGGACGAATGGATGAACGGACGAATGGACGAACGGACGAACGGACGAACTAACGAACGGACGCACACACCGAAAATCATAATGTCCCTTAGTGGGGCATAAAAAGCAAGATTTGCATGTATTATTTATGATCCAGTTAGCATGATTCCAGCGAAGTTGTTTCTTTCTAGTTTCAACATTTAAAATCCGAAACTAAATAGATAAATGTTATATACTAGTTCCTATACCTATGTTTTAATCAAACCATCTGTTTTGTAATGTGACGTTTTTCAAAGCTTAAAATATACACGCATAACAGGAAGAACAGGAACAATAAAATTGATGTTGTATATAGGCCTTCACAGGCTATGTCTGTCAATGGATTCTGGTTGATTAATATTAACCAACCTTCATCTATTCAAACATGATTCGAATAATACGTAATACATACGTATGGTTTTCATAAAGAAAGAACTATTTTAAAGTACAAGCAATTCATTGATGTTTTGTTATAAGTTAGTTATCAATTATAATGTAATCTGTATACTTTATACCATAATGGTTTAGGTTAAACATTCAATTACAATATGAGCAGTATAACATAATGTTTTAGATTTATTTGCAGTTATTTTCACTGGAAGGATGATCAGTCTAGTGGTTATTGTTAGTGTAATAGTACAAACAGGTTGTAGACAATAATTAATTATGCCATTTTCTACGTTTGTTCTATACTATACTCTATAATTATGAAATAACCAAGCGTATTTAACCTTTTTAACGTCTTAACTCTTACCGTAGGATGTAAACGGTTTTAATATTGCAATCAATTTTTGAAATTTCTGTTTTATTTTTCTCATATTCACGCTATCCAGATCATACACATGACAAATGGAACATGCTTCAGCGAGATTTTATTCTACTACTATATAAAAATAAGAAGATGTGGTTTGTTTGCATTGAAACAGCTTTCCACTAGAGACCAAATGACGTAGAAGTTAACAACTACAAGTCATTGTACGGTCTTCAACAATGAGCAAAATCCATACCGCATAGTAAGCTATAAAAGGTCCGGACACGACGAATGCAAAACTATTTAATAATTCAGTACTAAAACTGCTGCTGCTACTTCTTTACTGCTCTAACGTTTTGAAATGTCACTATGACAACCTTTACTGATACTTCTTCTTGAAATGTTACTATGGCAACCTTAACTGTTACTACTTTTTGAAATACTACTACAGAAACCTTAACTGCTACAACTATTCTGCTTCTAATAAAAAAAAATCATACTAATATCACTTCTACTACTACTACTACTACTTTTTGAACTTCTACAGTCACCGAATAGTTTTCTACTTATAATAGTTATACTATTTTCAATATTTTCACTACTACTACTATTACTACTACATTAATATGACTAATTCTACCTATACTACCGCTATTCTTCTAAATGAAATAGATTTAGTATTTTCGGATCTTTACTAATATTAAATATTAATATATTGAATTTTACACCTCTCATTCTTCGAAATTTCTTTATTTGGTTTCATCTCCTCTAAGAAATCGCATGAGCCACCGTAGAGACTGTGACTTATAACTGCTGACATCTACGTCTCTTGTGAATAGTTGTCTCATTTGCAATCATATCTCATCTTCTTAGTTTTAAAATGATATACTCAAAAATGTGTCTGATGATATCAAGACTTTTTTTTCTTTTAGTATCACTATCAACAAACTGTATATCATATGCAAAGATTGGGAAAACCGCCACCTTCAAATGTCTATTCCAAACTGTCGACATATGGGCTGCTGGTATTGGGACAAGAAATTCAACTACGTATGCTATCAAGAGAAAAGTGAACGCTAAGCTGCAGATCGCTAAAAGGTTGTCTGTATCTGAGGATTACAGTTTGATAATCAAAAACGTTTCGAGGTCTGACTTTCAGACTTATCGTTGTACTGGATATAACTATTCACAACTAGAGACGTATGATATAGTTTTAAATGAAAGAAGTAAGTTAATTGAAATGTTTATTTTTCCTTAATTTGAATCTTTTTTTACTGGGTCTGTAGAAACACAATATAAATACAAAAACGTCATGTTAGAGTGCATTAATTGAAAGAAATAATTTTAATTTAGCCTTGAAATGTATATTCTTTTAATGGCATCAAAAGAACCGCAAGTGCAGCTTACTAAAAGGGGTGTATAAATGCCAACACAAATATAGGAAATCATCTATAGAGTTGGAGGTCGGGGCTTTGATCTCGAGTCGGATAAAACCGAAGACCTGACAATTGGTGGTTGCTTCTATTCTCATGTTGCATTGAGGAGTAAGAGAAAATACTAGTCGGCTTAAAGTCGTTATTATTATAGGTCTGGGTATGGAGACATATCTTCACGTGGACTGTTACTTTGTGAACTAGCAAGTAAAAGATCCGCTTCAGAAAGTCGGCCTACTGTTACTTTGTGAACTAACAAGTAAAACATCCACCTCAGAGAGTCGGCCTAGTACAAAACATGGTTTATATTTATGTCACACGAGCATGAACTCGTCCTAATATGTATGTTATATTTGCTTCTGTAGTTTTAAACACAATCCATCATATCTTTTATTAGAATATTGCTGTTTTTAAAATATGTATATTACATATGCAGATAAATGGAAATAAAGAATTTAAAGAATGAACAGTAATTTTGACATTCATCATTTAATTATATAAAGACATCTAAGATTATCTAATATACGCTCTGCGTCGTTCATTATACTTTCTGTACATGTAGTAGATCCTTCAAACATACGAATCATAGAAGAAACAGAACCACAAAGTGTTATTGGTGTGATAGGACAAAATATGTCCATAACTTGTACGGTGACTAGTGGCGAACCAGAAGAAACTCTAATAATAGAAGACGACAAAAGAAGGAAAATGGCAAAAGGTGGTCCTGGTTCCGTAAAACTTCAACTGGAACCAGATCATAATGATGATGGCAGAAACTTTACATGCCTTGTAATGAGTTGTGATGAACAGGTTTTATCCTATACAGTCCAACTCAATATTCGATGCAAGTATTTCACATTAGGGAAGTGAAAATATTCTTTTTATGAAAATGTCAACAAATATATGTGGTATTCGAAAAAAAGATTGTGGCAGTCGATGATTCGTCATTAAGTGTCGTGCAGTGTTGTTAAACAGTCTTACAAAGCGTCACATGAGAGTAAATTTTGATGAAACGGTCATACATATCAGTCGCAACCTATCACTAGCGTCAATGACATACCTAACAAAATTGTTATATCTCTTTTGAGATAGAATGTTGTTTTTTTTTTTTTTTATATTTAACGTCTAATACTTCCAAATCATCACTATTCAAACGAAAGAGAAAAATACTGTTTTGAAATGCAATATTTACCTTGCTTGCAAACGTAACAGAACATCTATAAATTAAACTTTTCTTTAAAGAAAATGCCTTCAAATTTGGTATTTAACCGAAATCATGACTGATATTAAAATTCATAATAATTTAACTTGCAGTCATATTAAATAAAATATTCTAATTCAAGAAACAATAATTAAAAGCTAAAAAAAAAACGCATTACATCTATTGAGTTTTTGACTGTATATTTTTTTTCTGGTGTAGTAAAGGCTTTTTATTTCTGTTCATTTGTCTTGAACATCCGCTTTGAATGTGTCAAACTGTACATAGCGTCTTCATAGATACCAGGATTAAAATTGGGTACGTCAGACTTGCGTTTCATATACAAAAGACTCATCAGTGACGCCCGAATATTTTTTTTTTAAAAGGCCCAACTATGTACGAAGTTGCATGTTAAGAATTGAAAATGGAAACGGGGAATGCGTCAAAAAGACCGTTACCCCGACCAAAGAACAGAAAACAGCCCAAGACCACCAATGGGTAACTTATTATTTATTTAACAGAAAAATCTGTTTTATTGTAGATAAGCCAAACATAACCATACAAGCATATCCACACAACACCACCATGGAAGGAGATCCTTTAGAATTAAGATGCAATGATCGGGAGGGTAGTACTAATGTCATCAGTGGATATAATTGGCAACATAATGGAAAGTACCTGCAACACTCGTTAAAGGTCATGCAACTCAATGTCACTACACGAATGGACAATGGCAACTTTACTTGTACTGCTGAAAACGAGGCTGGTGAAGCAAGAGATACTATAGAAATAAATGTTCTTTGTAAGTATATTAGCAGCAACTGCATTTAATTGATAGTCAACTAATAAGTAAATAAATATATAGATAAGATAGTATCGTAGCTTGTATGGTGCTGTGTAGCTCTTTACTCTTTCAATGGATAGTATATACATTTACAGTCACACCACATCTCTTTTTTTATTCAAATGATTTCAAAAAGTTAATATCACAACCATTAAGCATGAATTGAAATTCAATAGAAAAAAAAATTCAAAAAAAATAAATAATTTGCACTTTTGAATTACTATATTCTTCTAAGATAACACAGAAAAGAAGTTGCTTAATAATTTTTGAATGAAAATTAAAGCTTTATGACCAACATAGTTTGACCATTCGTTAGAAATTACTTTAAGTTAAACTTAGCTAATAGATTACTTTCTGTTATTTTTGTCGTTTGGTTGCCGTATCGCTGACGTTAATACGACATCAGCATGATCTGTAATTCGTTTTTTTTTCTATTTATATCCATTTATATCTTGTCTTATTAAATTAATGTATATTTGATTTTATAGACGCACCAGTGATCGAAAATTATTCGGTTTCTTTCTTCGAGAACAACTCAAACCTATTGGTCAGTTGCAAGGTATCTGGAAATCCAAATAATTTCACATTTGGAGAATGGATTCATTTGTCTGATGTTGACACACCTATTCGTTATCTAAATGGATCCGAGGATGGGATGTTGGCTATTTCATCCTTCACTGGTACCGCTGAGGCGTATGAAAATGGTGGTGTGTATGTTTGCAATGTTTCTAATGGGATACATTCTACTGACGGTAGTTTATGGCAAACAGGAAAAATTCACGTCATTATAAAAGGTACACTAGAAAAACTTATTTAGATCTTGTCAATCACTTCGTATTTGATTTATTTTTTATCAAAACATTGCATGACAAAGTAATTCAACTGAACGATTAAACCAAACACCAAAAACTCCCAGGTTAGGAGGAGGGTTGGGATCCCGCTAACATGTTTACCCCCGCCACATTCTGTATGTATGTGCCTGTCCCAAGTCAGAAGCCTGTAATTCAGTGGTTGCCGTTTGTTTATGTGTTACATATTTGTTTTTCGTTCATTTTTTGTACATAAATTAGGCCGTTAGTTTTCTCGTTTGAATTGTTTTACATTGTCATTTCGGGGCCTTTTATAGCTGACTGTGCGGTTTGTTGAAGGCCATACGGTGACCTATAGATGTTAATTTATGTGTCATTTGGTCTCTTGTGGAGAGTTGTCTCATTGGCAATCATACCACATCTTCTTTTTTATATTAACTATTAGACAAGAGAAATCAAGCGTCTCAATGATCAACATTAGTGGTTGTCAAAGTCTTATATACCCAATGAAATGATTCCTGTAAATTTTATGGTTCAAATTTCTTGAAATATTCATATTTTTGTCAACAGGTCAATTTAAAGATTTTGTTACATTCACAGGAGAGATGATCACGTAACTAATGTAGAATGCTATTTTTCCTGACGTCAAACTGTGAAATATTGAGAAAAGATGCATTTTCGAATCATTTTAATCAGTAGTTTGAAAACGAGTGCATTGACCCCTCTTTTTATGGCTTGAATATGTATGAAGATTATCTGTACCAATTTTTATGAACAAATCATTAATGGATAAATATACCACAAAAATGTCGTTTTTATCTAAAATCTAAAATTATGAAAAGTAATAAATGAATTTTGTCCAAAAAGTTATGCACAAATTTAGAGCATACCTATGTAAATAAGATATTCCAAATGTTTTTACAAACATCATTTGTGTTTATCTTTTAAAATAAAAAAGTTAGGTATGTCTATCCAATGGATAGAAATATCAAATAAACCGAAATGATAAGTAAATGTCTAAAATTTCGACCTTATTTATCTCTAGAATTAGCATATGGATGTATAGTTTTTATTACATATTTGAATTAATATCGTATGCCCTTAAAATAAATCCTGAATTATTGATGTTATTTCTGTAATAATAAACAAAAGGAGCAAACATCCGTTTACTTAGCCTCGACTACGAGTCTCTAGGTAAACTTAATTTGCAACAGTAAGAACTTTGTTTCACGTTGGTCAAGCTAAAAATAAAATACAGTTGAATTGCGTATACAAAACATTACTTAAATAAGATAAAAGAAAATATAATTCCATTTTCACATGGATGTTTTTGTATGTTGTTAAATCTTTCATTCGAAGATGTTCTACCGACAAAAAAGAACAAATTTCGGACCACTCAGTTATCGGCAGCTAGTTTTTTCTTACATGACTAAAAAGGAATATGTCCGTATGGGCGGAATTAACCGGTACATACATGTAGGTTTTTGGAAATGTGGATTGTTTTTCATTAGATAATATGTGTTTTATATTGAGCCTTCAATCAAGCACGTTGTACAATTGTTCTCGAAACGTTTCGACATCAGCACCGCGAATCTTACCAAAAATCCTTGTAAAAGAGGGACGAAAGATACCAGAGGGACAGTCAAACTCATAGATCGAAAACAAACTGACAACGCCATGGCCAAAAATAAAAAGACAAACAGACAAATGACACAACATAGAAAACTAAAGACTAAGCAACACGAACCCCACCAAAAACTGGACTGATCTCAGGTACTCCGGAAGGGTAAGCAGATCCTGCTCCACATGTGACACCCGTCGTGTCGCTTATGTTATTACAAATCCGGTAAATAGTCTAATTCGGTAGGTCACATTCGTGAAAAGGGAAGGGTATTGTAGTTACGACATAAGGAACATATCCGATATCATCTGTGAAACGGTTATCCCATAACGGTCAACCAACTCGTGATGGCGTCCGTAAATTAATATTCTCCTAGTTACCAAGTGTAGTCAATTATATTGTGTTTGATTAAGCACGACTTAAAAACACCATTTGGTTGTAATTAAATGAATATATCTATATGAAACATATGTGTACTGTTTTTATTAAAAAGCATATGCTATTTCTATGTCATCATGGTTATTTCTTCCACAAATACCATATAATGAGAAAGTTATGGACAAAAAATACCATACAGTGACATTTGTAATCCTAAATCACACCTTATGTATTAATATGATGAAAACAAATTAAGAAAAGCAATATTTTGGGTGTATCCTGGTGATGGATACATTCAATCAACTTGTGTAATTTAAAACTTTAAAAGTCATTTTGTTTTTTTTTTTCTTTAAAAAAATGTCTGATAATGTGATAGTTGTTCATAAAAAACTAGCTGGGGACATTTATAAATGAATTTATACCTTAAATGTTCAAATGAAAACAAATGAAGCATTAGATTAAAAAAATTGGTTGTAAATTTTGTATGCATAAATTGATTTCACTTTAAAGGACGTTTTTTTATAATTTTTATTCCAGAAAGTCCTGTGTTTACAAAACAAAATAAACCTGAACAAGTTGGTTATATCGATAATACATCGAGTCTGTTTGTTGATGTGATGAGATCTTCGAGAATAATGTCAACAAAATGGTACATAGAACTTTCGGAAGTTCTAAAGACAGAACGATTAACAATGCCTCGGAAGAGTCTAATAATAAAAGCACAATTCCACAACAAGATAGTATACACCAAAGGTTATCGTTGTAATCTTACAATAGACAAAACAAAACCAGAGGATTTTCAAAACTATAAAGTGACAGTACAAAACCAATATGGCTTCAGCTCTTTTATCATACAGCTACGGTATGCAGGTATGTCATAATACAAAAGAATGCGTTTTCAGAATATGAAAAGGGTTGATTAGTATATCAGCACATACAATGTAAAACCTTAAGCTTCCTTTCACTGTGTGCAATCCTCGGATATCTGTGATATAATATTTCCCAGTATAACATGATTGTACCATACTGGTACCTTCTTTTTTGTCGTTTGCGTTATATAAAATACTGTGAATTTAAGACGAAGAACATTAATAAAAGCACTGTTCCTTTGCTTTTTGTGTTTTTTTTTGCTGCGCATGTTTTTATTTCATTGATAGATACCCCATATCCTTAATATTCTATTATATGTTTGCATGTACTATACAATGACTATTGTTATGTACAAAATGTACTTGTCTCTCCATGCGTTTACATAATTTTTTAACTCAATGACATTATCACCTACAGTTTGTCAAGGTCGATAATTTATATTTTGAGAACGGTTTACATAATAAACTAGTGTAGTGCAAATTGCCAGGTATTTGATTTGAGTGTACTATATTAAAAAATAATGGTTGGATACAATGTCGTCAAATGTTGTTATTCAAGTGTCCAAAACCCGAAAGACGGCTAAGAGACAATTAAACAATTCCTCATAACATTACAGAGATAACTACTAAAGCAATGGAAATTGTAGTCAGGTTTACGATTTTCTTGAATTGATATAAATTGACTGGTATTCAACCTCTATTACAATTGATAAACACCAATGCGATATGAAGCATTTTTCCACTCAACTCCTACAATTTCCAGGCTGTGAATAAATGCGCTTTTCTTGATTAACCTTTACCAGGAACACTCAAATCGAATATTTGAAAGCCAATAAAGTGCATACCATCTACTAATAATTGTTAACATTGAGATTCAACTAAAAACCAGTAAAAAATTGTCGACGAACAAATCATACAAAGATCCTTAGCTTAAATAAAGCATTACCCGTTTATTCCGGCGTTTTAAGTGGAACGTGTAAGAGACAACACATTGTTTTCTGTTTCTCCTATAGGCCCTCCGAGGATGCCACATATAACCACTGTTAAGAGAACATCCAATGGCATTCTTGTTAAATGGGAATCAGTTTTTGATGGAGGTTATGAAACAACGTATGAGGTCGAATATCGAAAAGTGACGGAAACAAAGTGGGATAGGATACACATTAAGGAAAACCATCTAAGCACGACCTTTATAGCAGATCCGAATACTGACTATTTGGTAAGAATGAAAGCATTGAACAAGATGGGAAACAGTAGCTCCACAAAAGAACAAACGGTTCCTACGGAAGGTAAAGACATTATGTTTTACTTTAAATCGAATTACGCTTAATAGCTTAAACAACTTGCAAACCTGTTATCACGTAAATGTCTGTTAATAAACGAGCAGAGTCTGCCTCTGATGGTCTATGTATTTGTCCGACAGTTTAAGGTATGCCCCTAATTATTTGTTGTAACGTTGCGTTTGCCACCAATTATAATGGTGAACAGTTTTTAATATAATAGCAGAACTCCGATGGTATGAGGTATCTACGTGGTATATGTTGTCGCACCATTTCCACTGTCCAATTTATTTTAGAATACAATGCTGAATTAATGGATATAAATGTCAATGAGAGATTCGAATGCAATGTGATATGTAACTCCTCTTTTGATTGGATTATGTCTGTCGTTAACTCTACGATTGACGGTCGGAGTCATTGGCAACGATGTTGCGCAATCGCAAACGACACGTGCAGGATTATTCAAATGTTGTATTATTAACATTATACCAATATTGCATGGCGTCGCCAGTAAAACTGTATTTGTGACCGTCAAATTCCAAATCGATGTTACAACTCTTCAAACACAGTACAGTTATTCCTTAAGCATATCAATTACACCAACCAAATGCGTCTAGAGTGCAGTTTACTGTTATCGACATTAGACAGGTGTCTATACGATATGTCTTCACTATATGTCGCCCCGTGACCATACTTTCCTGTAATAACATGTTTTGTTGCATGATGATAGTGACTTATTTCAATATGTGCGGAAATTTTGCTAGTTTAATATAATTCAATGACAATTTGCATATGTATTTAGAAATGTTTGAAGGTAATTTAGAAAAAATACAGAAGAACCGGTGAAGTAAACGTAAGTATAACTGACTTGATCGTGGTGCAAGATGAAAGCACTTTGAAGTTTTTGCTGACAGCTCTTATTTGCCCCTAGTCTATGTGAGGAGTTTATTAACTGAGAGTATCGAACATTTGCCTTTAACAACAAATTCTATAATGGACAAAACACTTAACCGGCTACATCATACACACTTTTTAAAAATATCAAAATATCATACCTCAAATGACTCACACTGTAAAATAAGGAATTATCTCAGAAGTTGGTAGTTGATGAAGGTTAACATTGAGTTTGTGGTTACACAAGTCTAAATGTTTAATTAAAGCACCCCCCCCCCACCCCCCCCCCCCCCAAAAAAAAAAAAAAAAAAAAGAAATCAAACACCAGTTATTTGTTGCACACTCAAATATCAACAAAGTTTACATGAGTAACTAAGAAAGAGTTCAGAAATAATTTTTCACTTTTATACACCAAAATTTTGGTTTAAAAATGTACTTTTAAACGTTACCGTGTTCTTCCGCTTTTCTAAATACTTATATTATATTATATTGTTTATCAATGATGTTATAGATAAGGAAATCCAGCATTCGGCGGTGATTTATGGGACCAGTGTATTTACAGTGATTATGTTCTGCATCAGTGGAGTGTTTGGATGTTTCTGGTGCTATTCTATAATAGGTATTTACATCTTAAACAAATCAATGTACTTGATTCAATGAGTATTTAAAGTACATATATGATCAAATTGTATAACAAAACTAAGACGAATGTGTTGTTCGTTGTTGGTGTCTATCTTTCGAAGGCGCCGAATCTTTGTGGTTGTGTTGTCTGTTGTACTATTCAATATCTTACTAATTGCTATATCCTTTTTATATAAACGACTATGAAGTAAAAGGAATGTGGACGACAACAATCTATCTTAAAGACGCAAAAAACCAAACGACTTACATACCTGTAGAATATGCAAATTCAGTGTGACAATTGTATGCATTATTTCTTACAATGCCATATCAAAACAACAATATTTTCTAGGGAATATATAATATAAGAAACATCTTGACCATACCATTGGATAAAAACATACTTGCTTACTACCTGTTTTTAATATTGAATGCACCTTGCTGACAAATTATAAATAAACTCTTACTATATTGGCTACAAAGAAAATGTGTATTGGACCTTGGGGTGGGGGCTAGAGAATGCAGTAGTTGGTGCCTATCCATTTGGCATTTGCATTGTCAACCATCATCGTCAGTAGCCTATCACTTCTGGTATGAGAAATAGTGCATGTCTTCATTTCTAAACATATACAATTGATATTGAACTATTGAACTATTTACTGTGTCAAAGTATACGAAGTAGACATAGGTACAAAGAGATATTTGAAATTAGACAGAAACTACGAATACTAAAAAGGACATTATATATGAACATTTTTTATATTTTTCAGAGAAAAAGAAAAGAATGAAAGCTAACAACCATGAGTATGATTAATATATGTATTCTGTTAAGTAAATCGGGCTATTTTCGCGTCGAGTTTTGATTGCGGTTTGGGCTTTTTTGATAGGGTAGTTAAATCTTCGTTGTTTTTGTTATTCACGTCGCATGACTTTGTGCAATCGATTCAAATCAACAGTGAAATGTTTACGTAGGGTACTTCAATTTCGTGTTAAAATGTTTATCATGAATATAGCGAAAATAAGGCACGCGGAAATTTCCGATTTGCGGCTTATGAGGCAATCATTTTTATATAAATACCCAAGGCAACAAAAAAAAGAATTAAGCAAATTGACCGAAATAACCGCAACAAAAACTCAAATAAGACATAAAAAACACGATTTATTCTTCGTGTGTAAAACAATGTATGACCTTTCCTATGAACTGAAACTAACTTGTATCATTGAAAAGCAAACGGCATTCCTTATTACTGATTAGAGAACGATAAAATAAAATCTATGACACAATCGTACTTTTCTAGTTTTTCACGTTTGATATATTATGAGAGAACAATGCTTTACAACACGTTATAACATTTTACAACACGTTATAACACTTTACAATACGTTACAACACTTGCAAACACGTTACTAAACGTTACAACACTTTACAACACGAAATTTCATCTTTAGTTATTTATGTTGAATTGACCAAATTCACATTTTTTTCAGCATTGATATAAATCAAGATCAACAGTTAGCGGAAGACAACGGTAATATACAAAAGTATGACTCATATGGGTATACGACAATTAGACAGCAACATAACAGTAACAATAAAACAAGAAAAGTCAGTTTGTATTCCCTGTTATTTGAAATATTTAATATCATACTATGATGAAAGTTAAAAATTTATTATATAAAGTGTAATTTTCATTTATTAGCTCTCGGTCGATACCTCTGGTGGAGAACATTGTCAGCCAAGTAGTAAGAGCTCCGGTACTGTCATGATCTCTAACATCCCCTTTCGTATATTCTACATTCCCAAATTTGAAAAGACACTAAGGTTCCAACTGCCTCAGGCCGTAAATGGATTTGGCTCTTTTTTTCTTTGGGTTCTTTTTTTTATCGTAGGTTCACGTACGCGTATTTATACAATTATACATCTTTGAATTTAACGATTTTGGCCTTGAGTGTTCCTGATGAAATAAAAAAGCACTTTGAATGCAACACATTTTAAGAGTGGTATTTCCATTGTAATGAATGTTTGAACCAAAATTTCATCAAGACTAAAGTTAAATGTTTGTCTTCCCAATATGCTTAGTTCGACGATAGACTTGAAATATTTATGTACAGTCTCGGGCCCGTTATATACTTTCATAAAAACTGTAAGTTTGAAATAACAGATACTAAAAATAGATTTAAAATAACAGAACTGTAATTATAATAATACAATTATTTTGCAATCAATTATTAGTCAATAGATGTATTTGGACAACATGTACTAAGTCTTTCTTTTTGAAACTCAAGAATGCTTGTTTTCATATTTGTCAATTTGGCACAAAAGAAAATGCTTAAACACGCGATATCGTGCTTGCCCAATTCGTCAATGGGTAGCGTGCTTGCCTCGAGTGCAGGATGTCAGGGGTTCGATCCCTGGGTGGTTCTCAACCAAATACTTTATAATTGGTATTTGCTGCTTCTCCTTCGGGCTAGCGGTTAGAGGGTAAGAGCAAAGGCAGATCGACTCGGAATCATAATAATGTGTCTATGTACGGTGACTTATCTTCAGCATAGGGTCAATACTCGCATCACATTATAAAATTGAGAATGGAAATGGGGAATGTGTCAAAGAGACAACAACCCGACCACAGAACAGACAACAGCAGAAGGCCACCAACAGGTCTTCAATGCAGCGAGAAATTCCCGCACCCGGAGGCGTCCTTCAGCTGTCCCCTAAACAAATATATATACTAGTTCAGTGATAATGAACGCCATACTAAACTCCAAATTGTACACAAGAAACTAAAATTAAAAATAATACAAGACTAACAAAGGCTAGAGGCTCCTGACTTGGGACAGGCGCAAAAATGCGGCGGGGTTAAACATGTTTATGAGATCTCAACCGTCCCCCTATACCTCTAGCCAATGTAGAAAAGTAAACGCATAACAATACGCACATTAAAATTCAGTTCAAGAGAAGTCCGAGTCTGATGTCAGAAGATGTAACCAAAGAAAATAAACAAAATGACAATAATACATAAATAACAACAGACTACTAGCAGTTAACTGACATGCCAGCTCCAGACTTCAATTAAACTGATTGAAAGATTATGTCTTCATCATATGGATATCAGGCACAATCCTTCCCGTTAGGGGTTTAGTATCATACCATCATAACATATATGAGAAGAACATAACCCGTGTCATGCCAACAACTGGTTTTTAAATAAATGTGTTTAGTGCCGATGCAAAGACCCTATAAGTGAATCAATATTAACGCCAAAATATGCAACCTTTAATGACCTGACAACAGTATCGTAACTATATCCCTTCTTAATAAGTCTATTTAAAGGTTTTGTTAGTTTCAGAGGTGAATACTGACATTTTTGTGCTTTATAAAGAATATTTCCATAAAAAAATGGATGTGAAAAACCTGAACGTATAAGAAGTCTGCATGTTGAGCTATATTTACGAATGATGTCCTTATACCGATGATAAAATTTAGTAAATGTTTTGACTAGTTTGTGATATCGAAAACCTTGTTCTCGCTCAAATATACATGTAATATTTACCGTTGGACGTAAAACAACAATCCATTTTCTTCCTCCTCGTCGTCGGTCGTCTTCCTCCTCCTGCTCATCCACCTCCCAATGCACCTCCTCCTCCTCCGCCTGGTTGAATACTTCCTTGTTCGGGTTTTCCTTTACATTTGGTCCTCATGGTTTTATTAACCCTTCTAAGTGTGCATAAGTTTTAAGTTTTAAGTTTTAACATTATTTTGGCATCGTGGATTCCTGAAGGGACGTCAATTGTCGAAATTCTCATCTAGTGCAGTATAATTTTTATGTATGATATAAAATGTGAATCATGTTTAGTTATTTCGTTTGTCTGGACGAGTATCTATTAATACATAATTCTTATATGATGTGTATATCTACAAATACTTGAATCGGATTGGTCCGTTAGAATATTTTGCGATACATTTTTTATGGTTATATCTGATTATTTTTTTTCTTAGGCGTTGTTAATGACAACAATATACCGGAAATAAACATTATACCTCCTGCTGAAAACAACATCAATGTTAACGTGCTACAGGGTGCGTTCGGTATTAACGTGCTACAGGGTGCGTTCGGTGAGAGTTGTGAAGGATACTCATCAATAGATCGACGGAAAAGAATATCCATGAGTCAGAAGGTCTCATATATGGCAAACAGAAGTACAAAGGTCGTGTCGACAGAACTATGACACATATATCATGTATATTTCAGTTACTATAGTCAAGTTCTAATTAAATGTAAAATATTTTGAAAAGATGTTTTAACAACGAATATATAGGTACCTGATATTGATATTTCGGTGCATTTAAAAAATGATCTTTTATAACAGCGAAAGGCTTTTAGATAATAATTGCCATGTTGGCTCTAGTTATATAGAATGTGTTAAACAATATAAATATATAGTTTCTCGTTATGGAAGATACTGAGAAATATAAAAAGAAGAGAAAGTTACTAAGAAAGGAATGAAAGCCTGTTTTAGGATATACAGAGATATGAAAAGTGCAAACTTGTGTTAAAACATTTTTTCATATATTTGATCACTGTATTAAACACATCGTTTTGCATGGATGTAAAAATTGAGTGTTATTAACATAACACATAAAAGAAAAACAAAACTTTCTCTTTTTGAGATATTTAAAGAATAAACCTTTTAATAACTTAATATTAAGTTTGGTAAATTTATTCTTGGTGTATCAAAGCTGTCTACGAATATAGCTGTTCTTTCAGAACTTGGGAGATATCCACTGTATATTTATTTATTTAAACAAATGTTCGTGTATTGGTATAGACTTGAACATTCCACATCAGACCTTCTCAGTAGTGTAGGGCTTATAATGAATATAAGAGAAACAATAGTCAACCGTCTAAAAAGTAATGAGAGTACCAGCAGTCATTTCGTTCAACGAAATGACTGCTGGTACTCTCATTACTTTTTAGCTTACCGCCCCATGTGAGCTTATGCCATCACTTGGCGTCCGTCGTCGTCCGTCGTCTGTCGTCGTCTATCGTCGTAAACTATTTCAAAAATCTTCTCCTCTGAAACTACTGGGCCAAATACCTTCAAACTTTAACTAAATGTTCCTTAGGGTATCTAGTTTATAAATTGTATCCGAAATTTTGATCCATCGACAAACATGGCCGCCATGGCTAAAAATAGAACATAGGGGTCAAATGCAGTTTTTGGCTTATATCTAAAAACTAAAGCTTTTAGAGCAAATCTGACAAGGGGTAAAATTGTTCAATTGGTCAAGATCTATCAGCTCTGAAATTTTCAGACGAATCGAACAACCCATTGTTGAGTTGCTGCCACCGAATTGGTAGTTTTAACAAAATTTTGCAGTTTTTTGTTATTATTTTGAATATTATTATAGATATATATAAACTGTAAGCAGCAATAATATTCAGCAAAGTAAGATCTACAAAAAAGTTAAATGACCATAATTTTCAATTGACCCCTTAAGGAGTTATTGCCCTTTAAAGACAATTTTACACAATTTGTTCATCAAGTTTGCTAACATTTAAAAATCTTCTCCTCTGAAACTACTGGGCCAATTACCTTCAAACTTTAACTAAATGTTTCTTATGGTATCTTGTTTATAAATTGTATCCGAAGTTTGTATCCATCGACAAACATGGCTGCCATGGCTAAAAATAGAACATAAGGGTCAAATGCAGTTTTTGGCTTATATCTCAAAAACTAAATCTTTTAGAGCAAATGTGACAGGAGTAAAATTGTTTAATTGGTCAAGATCTATCGGCCCTGAAATTATCAGACGAATCGAACAACCCATAGTTGGGTTGCTGCCACCGAATTGGTAGTTTTAACAAAATTTTGCAGTTTTTTGTTATTATTTTGAATATTATTATAGATATATATAAACTGTAAGCAGCAATAATGTTCAGCAAAGTAAGATCTACAAAAAAGTTGATATGACCAAAATTGTGAATTGACCCCTTAAGGAGTTATTGCCCTTTAAAGACAATTTTACACAATTTGTTCATCAAGTTTGCTAACATTTAAAAATCTTCTCCTCTGAAATACAGGTGAGCGATTCAGGCTCTTGAGAGCCTCTTGTTAATGGTGAGAAATTGAATATTGGTTTATCTGCTTGTAAAGATTTTAATCTACAATATTGTCACAAGGTTTCCCAAAGTGTCCATTCTAAATGTCCAAGCTTTATCAATTTGTATGATGACCGATACAGTCTGAGATATAGATTTCAATATTTCCATGGGTGACTATTTATCAAAATCTTTGAAGTGAGGAGAGAATCTCATTAGAAATATACATTATCTGTCATTGTGTATTTGTGACTGGTAATCATATAAATGTTACATGTTGATAAAGTTTTTTGTTTTTTGTTTGTTCAGTTGAATAAAGCTAAGAGTTATTCCTCTTTATACAACTGGCTCTCTCTTCCTACTAATGGTAGTGTATTTCGTGTGTTTTTTTTTTTATTAAAGTAACTTAAAATCATAACTTATCAATAAGAATGTTTAACACATTGTGTATGTGCCTATCCCAAGTCAGGAGTCTGTAATTCAGTGGTTGTCGTTTGTTGCTGTATATCATATTTGTTTTTCGTTCATTATTTTGTACATAAATCATGCCGTTAGTTTTTTTGTTTTATTTGTTTTACATTTGTCATTTCGGGGCCTTTTATTGCTGACTATGCGGTATGGGCTTTGCTCATTGTTGAAGGCCGTACGGTGACCTATAGTTGTTAATTTCTATGTCAAATTTATATTTTTTATTCTTATCGTTGTCTTCGTAATCGTACACAAGCAAAATTTGCTCACGTGAATTTCACATAAATCTCACATGAAATTCGTCAGAACATTTTCAAGTGAGATTTACCTCAAACAAGCTTATACATGAAAATCACGTGAACATTTTCATGTGAATTTCACGTGAATTGAGATTCACTTCAATCTCCCGAAAAATTTTCACGTGAATTTCACGTTAACTTTACAAAAATTGGTAATTTCATGATTTCGATAAACTTTAAAATTTAGATGTTATTTGAATTACTTCACGTATTTATTTAAGCTCGTTTGGGGTGAAATTCACGTGAGATTCACTTGAATAAAAAAATTTTGTGAGAGAAATTTTCGTATGTTCTAATAGAAATGACCTCTTTGGGCCATAACATTTGAAATAAAAGATATTTGTATTTCTATACGTCATTTGTATTGATGCTGCAATATTTTAACATGCAAAGTTATTAATTGTGTTTATGATGATTTGAATGTGCTTTTTATTTATTATTATTAATTAATTACAAATATTAAAATTTAAATTTTGCCATGATATTTTATTGATTAAAAATACAAGAGAAAATGAAGAACATTTCGTAATATCTAGTTTAAGGGTCTTAATACATACTAGTGCTTGTGCTGTTGATTTTCTAGTAGATATCGACGTTACGCAAACAACAATCAATCAATCTAGCAGATATGAATAAAAGGAAATGTAGGGCATATGTAATAGCAGCCAAGTGACACAATATAAACAAAAAAATCTGTAAAGGAATCATATATATTGCAATAGAAAAAAATTATTTCATATTACACAGCTAAATAATTTTTGTAGCTTTATATTCTATTTTCAGTACAAAAAAAAACTAAAAAGAAAAAACTAATATGAAATTATTTTTTTCTATTGTGCGTATGTTGAAGGTATGTCTTACAAAAAACAGAATTTACAAAGAAACATACGGGGCATATACATTAAGACTATAAGTCTTTGAAGATCTCGAAGTCAACGTAACGCGAAACCTACAAAGAAAATAAAACGTCTATGTGGTCTTGTTGTAGCGGGCTCGGCTGAAATGCGGAAGATCGTGGGATCGATGGTTTTTCTTGCTTCTCCATAATACCATTATTTATTTGAATGCAATTCTATATTAGTAAAAAGTATCAAAAATCAGCACATTCCAGAATACTATGTTAAATATCCCAGTACAGCAAAAATGAAAGGACTACTACCATTGGTTAATTTTTATGTACTTAAGAATGTATCTTTATTCGTTTCAAAGTAGGGAAAATATAATAAAGTAAAGTAATTATTAATATATTTCATTTCTAAGTTGTTCTATTTATTTCTATGATTTTATGTGATTGTATTTTGTATGTATTTACCTCTTGTTTCGCATGTCAATGTGACGGAGTGTCTTTAAATAAAGCATATTGTATTGTATCTAGTAGGGCAATATATGCTCATACGTCCTGTCACCAGAGTTCAACCCTAGTTTTTGGTGGAGTTCGTGCTGCTCAGTCTTTAGTTTTCTCTGTAGTTTTTTGTGAATTTATTTTTCTTTTAGCGTATTTCGACTTTGTCAGTTTCTGTGGACTTTTCCTTTTAGTTTTGAATGTCCCTATGGTTTTATCAGCTCCCTCTTTTTTTATTCCTCTTACACATAAGCTATTTAGTAGTAAGAGCAAAAAAAAGTTCGATTCGGTATCAGAATAATGGATGACGTGTCAATTAGCATTGGTCACTGAAGTCATTGTCATGCACATTGGCCACTGAAGTCATTGTCATGCACATTGGTCACTGAAGTCATTGTCATGTACATTGGCCACTGAAGTCATTGTCATGCACATTGGTCACTGAAGTCATTGTCATGCACATTGGTCACTGAAGTCATTGTCATGCACATTGGCCACTGAAGTCATTGTCATGCACATTGGCCACTAAAGTCATTGTCATGCACATTAAATACCATTAAATGAAGGTTTGAAAAAAATAGACCAGGTACGTGTAGTTATTTTTGTAGGGTCCCTTTGCTTATTGTTCATTGTGCATTGGCCACTGAAGTCATTGTCATGCACATTGGCCACTGAAGTCATTGTCATGCACATTGGCCACTGAAGTCATTGTCATGCACATTGGTCACTGAAGTCATTGTCATGTACATTGGTCACTGAAGTCATTGTCATGCACATTGGTCACTGAAGTCATTGTCATGCACATTGGCCACTGAAGTCATTGTCATGCACATTGGCCACTAAAGTCATTGTCATGCACATTAAATACCATTAAATGAAGGTTTGAAAAAAATAGACCAGGTACGTGTAGTTATTTTTGTAGGGTCCCTTTGCTTATTGTTCATTGTGCATTGGCCACTGAAGTCATTGTCATGCACATTGGCCACTGAAGTCATTGTCATGCACATTGGCCACTGAAGTCATTGTCATGCACATTGGCCACTGAAGTCATTGTCATGCACATTGGTCACTGAAGTCATTGTCATGTACATTGGCCACTGAAGTCATTGTCATGCACATTGGCCACTGAAGTCATTGTCATGCACATTGGCCACTAAAGTCATTGTCATGCACATTAAATACCATTAAATGAAGGTTTGAAAAAAATAGACCAGGTACGTGTAGTTATTTTTGTAGGGTCCCTTTGCTTATTGTTCATTGTGCATTGGCCACTGAAGTCATTGTCATGCACATTGGCCACTGAAGTCATTGTCATGCACATTGGCCACTGAAGTCATTGTCATGCACATTGGCTATTGAAGTCATTGTCATGCACATTGGCCACTGAAGTCATTGTCATGCACATTAAATACCATTAAATGAAGGTTTGAAAAAAATAGACCTGGTACGTGTAGTTATTTTTGTAGTGTCCCTTTGCTTATAGTTCATTGTGTATTCAACTGTCAAGAGCTTTGGCTGTTCTTAAATTTTATTCCTGTCGTGCTTGAGGTCAAGCCCCTTTTAATTTATCGTTATCTAGAAAATTGCATTGTATGATCAATTATGTTATTTATCAAACATTCGTCGGTTTATACAGCGTAAATTGATCAGGACAATGAATCAATGATTATATTCTTTTTTTTACATCTATAAATATCAACAAAAGGGCAAATAGAAACAAAGAAGCCACATTTTTGTAATAATGAACATCGATGGAAAAGACAACAAATCATACTAGTTCAGAAAACCAGATATTGCACCCCCCCTTTTTTCCCTCAAAAAAAAAAAAAAAAAAAAAAAAAAAAAAAAAAATAACAACCATGAAGTATAAGTGTAAGAAATGCAATAAAATAAAGAACAACAACTTAAGAAATCATAAATGATACCACAAATAAAATTTGTAAATTTGCATTACACAAAAATTTGTAAGCACAAATACTCCCAATTAGTTGACAATTCTAAACGCCATGCGTTCGAGTATAAAACAAGTGTAAGTATGGGTTAGGTGTGAGCCAAGGCTCCGCGTTGAAAGCCATACTTTGACTTATAATTGTTTACTTTTTATACATTGTGACTTTGATGGAGAGTTGTCTCATTGGCATTCATACCACATCTTCTTATTTATAGTAAGTAAGGTTTGTTAGTGTTTACAGTGTTTTATGTAAATTATACTCATTAATTTGATTCGAAAAAAAAACTCATTTCGGAGTTGCAGTTAAACTATTCATATGTAAGAATTTTACCTATTTGATTTAATCTAAATATCAATATGATTCATAAAACCGCAGTGTTTTAAACATCTAATTTCTATAAAAATGCATTCGATTTAGTCTTTGTGTAGTTCGCTCAATTACATCCCCAAAATGTATGGAAATCAAATTTTCTGCACTTCTTTCAGTTATTCATTTCGTACCTTGACCATTTCATACCCCTGCTATTTCGTACCCAAATGTGTCATTTCGTACCCAACATTTACCATTTCGTACCCACGATAAAATCCATTTCGTACCCTATGGGCCAAATGCATCTACCATTTCGTACCTCATGGACTACATACATGTTTATTATTTCGTATCATATATTTGTAAAGTTTATCTGCTGCACCTGGATGAGCAGCACCGTCCGGCCGATAGAGTCCTAGTCTGTCTTCATGAGACCAACCCGCACAAACAACGATGTCGAAGGGTGGCATAACAGACTCAACAAAGACAGTAAATCTGGTAGTGGTAATAAGGGACTCTACACTTTGTCATCCTTACTTCACGACGAGGCAAGCCTCCTTCCCAATAGTATCCAACTGGTATCCGAGGGTAAACTGAAGAAGATGCAAAGAAAGCAGGCCCGTACCACACAGAAATCAACGTTCGAACACTGGCAGAAGTATGTTGATGGTGAGATTTCTTTAAGCCGCCGTCTACGTCTCTGTGGACGCCTTGTGTTTGTTCCGGATTCCCACTAGTGACATTATGATTAGATTGATACTTTTCCGAGTTATGTGTACAGTGCCTAGACTTTCCTGGTCAGATAAATAATAATTAATAGACATTCAAATGTTAAAAATCAACAAAAAGACATATGTGGATAAACCTTCAATTTGTTCAAGTAAAAATGTAGTATTTAGGATTTTCTTCCAGATTATACCTTCTGGTCTATATAAAAGGAAATGTAGTTGAGATTTAGATGGAAGTTAAACTTTCATTTAGTTTTCATGAGTTCTTATGCTTTTGATCTATACTTTAAATATCATCATTATGAAGTTATTAATAGATAAATGTGTTGAACAGTATTAAACTTGACAATGTTATAACTTTTGATTTTGTAGATGTCATCATGAAGACCTATGGAATCACGGAACAACAAGTGTCTGACCAAACAACAACCTTTCTAAAATGGGCTCCAAAAAGACAGGGTGGGAGAAGAAAGAAGTTGAAGTTTTCACTATTAATAAATAAATTTATTTTAATTTTATCGTATTGAATATTTCTCTATAATCAGTGGTTGGACATTAGAATACATTGAGTAGGAACAGCAAAATTTGTTTTATATTTTGATCACTTAGATATTTAGAATAGACATTGGGCAAAAACTATGTGTATTAAGGGTTGTGTGTTTTCAAAAATTAGGATAGATCAACATTTTTCTATGATAATTTGTTTTTTTATATGCATATCGTTAAATGTTAAAAAAATCTTGGGGGTTAAATTATGGTTCGTAGGAAAACCCTAAACACACATATTTGTTATTCAGTTGATTGGTTGTTGACATCATCATGGTCAAGCCATGCTCTTATCACAAGAATGTGGTCTCTCAGTTTTATTGTTGAAAATTCTATGAGTAATTGACAGTCAATGGTATATATTCAAAATTTTTATTGTTGCCTATTGTTAACAAGACAGTCATCAACCAAAAAAGATTATTCATATATCTTTGGGTCACCATACAGTCTTCAACAATGAGCAAAAGATCACATCATGTCAAATATGACCAAGCAATGATATTGTTTAAAGTTCATCAATTTTTTTCTGAGATTAATTTTTATATTTTGGTCTGATGGAGCAGTTATTGGATAAAGTTTCCTGCGGCAGAATGTTGCTATGACATTTAGCATGTAGAGGGCCTTGAGAAGACACTAGCTTGAATATTGCTACAGTTTAAAATTATGGAATGCAACACACAGAAAATACAGGATGAATGAAACTTAAGTTTTAGGTGGAAACACAGTTGAACACAACCACTAACCAATTTTGATTCCATGTTGAATATGGTATTCACCCTGAAATCAATCTGAATTCAAGGTGAGTTATTGGTTTAAACAATGTTGAAGCAACCGTTATTCAATATTGATTCAAAGTTGAATATCAACGTTGATTCAACGTAGGATTTCAACGTTGATACAAATTTGCAAAATCTAATAGTAATTCAACATTGATTCCACATAGAAAATAAACATTGATTCAATGTTAAATCAACGTTGTGTGCCTGCTGGGTTGCCTCCCCTTATGTGGCAAAGTTGGAAAAAATAGAATTAAACAAAAGTATTCTGTTTTTTTGTGAAATACAACCATAAATATTATAAAATATGTCATTTTCTATATTGATATGAAAATTCTTACACATGAATTACCTACTACTCTCAAAATTTGCACCTTTTATTAAAGATCTAGACCGATTGTTTTCTGGTATTTCAAAATCCAAGATGGAGGAAGACACCCTATCTACCTTAAATGTAAAATATTTTGAAAAGATGTTTTAACAACGAATATAGGTACCTGATATTGATATTTCGGTGCATTTAAAAAATGATCTTGTATAACAGCGAAAGGCTTTTAGATAATATAATTGCCATGTTGGCTCTAGTTATATAGAATGTGTTAAACAATATAAATATTTAGTTTCTCGTTATGGAAGATACTGAGAAATATAAAAAGAAGAGAAAGTTACTAAGAAAGGAGTGAAAGCCTGTTTTAGGATATGCAGAGATATGAAAAGTGCAAACTTGTCTGTTAAAACATTACATTTTTTCATATATTTGATCACTGTATTAAACACATCGTTTTGCATGGATGTAAAAATTGAGTGTTATTAACATAACACATAAAAGAAAAACAAAACTTTCTCTTTTTGAGATATTTAAAGAATGGACCTTTTGATAACTTAATATTAAGTTTGGTAAATTTATTCTAGGTGTATCAAAGCTGTCTACAAATATAGCTGTTCTTTCAGAACTTGGGAGATATCCACTGTATATTTATTTATTAAAACAAATGTTCGTGTATTGGTATAGACTTGAACATTCCACATCAGACCTTCTCAGTAGTGTAGGGCTTATAATGAATATAAATGAAACAATAGTCAACGCAATGACTGCTGGTACTCTCATTACTTTTTTAGCTCACCGGGGCCCGAAGGGCCCCATGTGAGCTTATGCCATCACTTGGCGTCCGTCGTCTGTCGTCATAAACTATTTAAAAAATCTTCTCCTCTGAAACTACTTGGCCAAATACCTTCAAACTTTAACTAAATGTTCCTTAGGGTATCTAGTTTATAAATTGTATCCGAAGTTTTGATCCATCGACAAACATGGCCGCCATGGCTAAACATAGAACATAGGGGTCAAATGCAGTTTTTGGCTTATATCTCAAAAACTAAAGCTTTTAGAGCAAATCTGACATGGGGTAAAATTGTTCAACTGGTCAAGATCTATCAGCTCTGAAATTTTCAGACGAATCGAACAACCCATTGTTGAGTTGCTGCCACCGAATTGGTAGTTTTAACAAAATTTTGCAGTTTTTTGTTATTATTTTGAATATTATTATAGATATATATAAACTGTAAGCAGCAATAATATTCAGCAAAGTAAGATCTACAAAAAAGTTTATATGACCATAATTGTCAATTGACCCCTTAATGAATTATTGCCCTTTAAAGACAATTTTACACAATTTGTTCATCAAGTTTGCTAACATTTAAAAATCTTCTCCTCTGAAACTACTGGGCCAATTACCTTCAAACTTTAACTAAATGTTCCTTAGGGTATCTTGTTTATAAATTGTATCCGAAGTTTGTATCCATCGACAAACATGGCTGCCATGGCTAAAAATAGAACATAAGGGTCAAATGCAGTTTTTGGCTTATATCTCAAAAACTAAATCTTTTAGAGCAAATGTGACAGGAGTAAAATTGTTTAATTGGTCAAGATCTATCGGCCCTGAAATTTTTAGACGAATCGAACAACCCATAATGATTGTTGGGTTGCTGCCACCGAATTGGTAGTTTTAACAAAATTTTGCAGTTTTTTGTTATTATTTTGAATATTATTATAGATATATATAAACTGTAAGCAGCAATAATGTTCAGCAAAGTAAGATCTTCAAAAAAAGTTAATATGACCATAATTGTTAATTGACCCCTTAAGGAGTTATTGCCCTTTAAAGACAATTTTACACAATTTGTTCATCAAGTTTGCTAACATTTAAAAATCTTCTCCTCTGAAATGCAGGTGAGCGATTCAGGCTCTTGAGAGCCTCTTGTTAATGGTGAGAAACTGAATATTGGTTTATCTGCTTGTAAAGATTTTAATCCAAATAAATTCAAGGTGTATTTGAAAAGATGTCTACAAAAGATTTTTTTTTTGAAACATGGAAACATATCAGAGATACATTTTCGGGTAACAGCGGAAAACTAAACATATACTTTGAATTTAAATATTCTTTTAATTATGAAAATTACTAATCTATAAAAACATAGACATGATAGAATTCTTACAAAATTTAGAATAGATAACCATAGTTAAGAATCGGAACTGGGAGACATGAACGAAAGACTAATAAATCTGGAAAGCAGAAAATACTCCCAAGAGGTGAAATACTCTGCTAAGATTGCACACCAAGTAAGGTAGAGGATGAAATCCATTTTATGTTCACATGTCCTCTTTATTCTGTAGCAAGAATGATATTCTTCTACAATATTGTCACAAGGTTTTCCAATGTGTCCATTCTAAATGTCCAAGCTTTATCAATTTGTATGATGACCGATACAGATATAGATTTCAATATTTCCATGGGTGACTATTTATCAAAATCTTTGAAGTGAGGAGAGAATCTCATCAGAAATATAAATTATCTGTCATTGTGTATTTGTGACTGGTAATCATATAAATGTTACATGTTGATAAAGTTTTTTGTTTTTTGTTTGTTCAGTTGAATAAAACTAAGAGTTATTCCTCTTTATACAACTGGCTCTCTCTTCCTACTAATGGTAGTGTATTTCGTGTGGTTTTTTTTTTATTAGAGTAACTTAAAATCATAACTTATCAATAAGAATGTTTAACACATTGTGTATGTGCCTATCCCAAGTCAGGAGTCTGTAATTCAGTGGTTGTCATTTGTTGCTGTATATCATATTTGTTTTTCGTTCATTATTTTGTACATAAATCAGGCCGTTAGTTTTTTCGTTTTATTTGTTTTACATTTGTCATTTCGGGGTCTTTTATTGCTGACTATGCGGTATGGGCTTTGCTCATTGTTGAAGGCTGTACGGTGACCTATAGTTGTTAATTTCTATGATACACAAGCACAATTTGCTCACGTGAATCTCACATGAATCTCACATGAAATTCATCTGAAAATTTTCAAGTGAGATTCACCTCAAACAAGCTTATAGTTACATGAATTTCACGTTAACTTTACAAAATAAAAAATTGGTAATTTCATGATTTCGATTAACTTTGAAAATTTCGATTTTATTTGAATTACTTCACGTATAAGCTCCTTTGGGTTGAAATTCACGTGAGATTCACTTGAATGTAAATCTGGTGTGAGAGAAATTTCCCTGTGTACTAATTGAAATGCCCTCTTTGGAATAAAAGATATTTGTATTTCTATACGTCATTTGTATTGATGCTGCAATATTTTAACATGGAAAGTTAGTAATTGTGTTTATGATGATTTGAATGTGCTTTTTCTTTATTATTATTAATGTATTACAAATATTAAAATTAAATTTGCCATGATATTTTATTGATTGAAAATACATGTACAAGGGAAAATGAAGAATGTTTTCGTTATATCTAGTTTAAGGGTCTAAATACATGCTAGCGCTTGCGCTGTTGATTTTCTAGGAGTTATTGCCCTTTAAAGACAATTTTACACAATTTGTTCATCAAGTTTGCTAACATTTAAAAATCTTCTCCTCTGAAACTACTGGGCCAATTACCTTCAAACTTTAACTAAATGTTCCTTAGGGTATCTTGTTTATAAATTGTATCCGAAGTTTGTATCCATCGACAAACATGGCTGCCATGGCTAAAAATAGAACATAAGGGTCAAATGCAGTTTTTGGCTTATATCTCAAAAATTAAATCTTTTAGAGCAAATGTGACGGGGTAAAATTGTTTAATTGGTCAAGATCTATCGGCCCTGAAATTATCAGACGAATCGAACAACCCATTGTTGGGTTGCTGCCACCGAATTGGTAATTTTAACAAAATTTTCCAGTTTTTGTTATTATTTTGAATATTATTATAGATATATATATAAACTGTAAGCAGCAATAATGTTCAGCAAAGTAAGATCTACAAAAAAGTTAATATGATCAAAATTGTCAATTGACCCCTTAAGGAGTTATTGCCCTTTAAAGTCAATTTTACACAATTTGTTCATCAAGTTTGCTTACATTTAAAAATCTTCTCCTCTGAAATGCAGGTGAGCGATTCAGGCTCTTGAGAGCCTCTTGTTAATGGTGAGAAACTGAATATTGGTTTATCTGCTTGTAAAGATTTTAATCTGCTTGTAAAGATTTTAATCCAAATAAATTCAAGGTGTATTTGAAAAGATGTCTACAAAAGATTTTTTTTTGAAACATGGAAACATGTCAGAGATACATTTTCGGGTAACAGCGGAAAACTAAACATATACTTTGAATTTAAATATTCTTTTAATTATGAAAATTACTAATCTATAAAAACATAGACATGATAGAGTTCTTACAAAATTTAGAATAGATAACCATAGTTAAGAATCGGAACTGGGAGACATGAACGAAAGACTAATAAATCTGGAAAGCAGAAAATACTCCCAAGAGGTGAAAGACTCTGCTAAGATTGCACACCAAGTAAGGTAAAGGATGAAATCCATTTTATGTTCACATGTCCTCTTTATTCTGTAGCAAGAATGATATTCTTCTACAATATTGTCACAAGGTTTTCCAATGTGTCCATTCTAAATGTCCAAGCTTTATCAATTTGTATGATGACCGATACATATATAGATTTCAATATTTCCATTGGTGACTATTTATCAAAATCTTTGAAGTGAGGAGAGAATCTCATTAGAAATATAAATTATCTGTCATTGTGTATTTGTGACTGGTAATCATATAAATGTTACATGTTGATAAAGTTTTTTGTTTTTTGTTTGTTCAGTTGAATAAAGCTAAGAGTTATTCCTCTTTATACAACTGGCTCTCTCTTCCTACTAATGGTTGTGTATTCCGTGTGGGTTTTTTTTTTTTATTAAAGTAACTTAAATCATAACTTATCAATAAGAATGTTTAACACATTGTGTATGTGCCTATCCCAAGTCAGGAGCCTGTAATTCAGTGGTTGTCATTTGTTGCTGTATATCATATTTGTGTTTCGTTCATTATTTTGTACATAAGTCATGCCGTTAGTTTTTTGTTTTATTTGTTTTACACTTGTCATTTCGGGGCCTTTTATAGCTGACATTGCGGTATGGGCTTTGCTCATTGTTGAAGGCCGTACGGTGACCTATAGTTGTTAATTTCTATGTCATTAGGTCTCTTGTGCAAAGTTGTCTTACTGGCAATCAAACCACATCTTCTTATTTTCATATTAAGGCTTGAATGTATGTTTTATTTTAAATTTATATTTTTTATTCTTATCGTTGTCTTCGTAATCATACACAAGCAAAATTTGCTCACGTGAATTTCACATAAATCTCACATGAAATTCATCAGAACATTTTCAAGTGAGATTTACCTCAAACAAGCTTATACATGAAAATCACGTGAACATTTTCATGTGAATTTCACGTGAATTGAGATTCACTTCAATCTCCCGAAAAATTTTCACGTGAATTTCACGTTAACTTTACAAAAATTGGTAATTTCATGATTTCGATAAACTTTAAAATTTAGATGTTATTTGAATTACTTCACGTGTTTATTTAAGCTCGTTTGGGGTGAAATTCACGTGAGATTCACTTGAATATAAATTTTTTGTGAGACAAATTTTCGTATGTTCTAATAGAAATGACCTCTTTGGGCCATAACATTTTGAATAAAAGATATTTGTATTTCTATACGTCATTTGTATTGATGATGCGATATTTTAACATGCAAAGTTAGTAATTGTGTTTATGATGATTTGAATGTGCTTTTTATTTATTATTATTAATGAATTACAAATATTAAAATTTAAATTTTGCCATGATATTTTATTGATTAAAAATACAAGAGAAAATGAAGAATATTTCGTAATATCTAGTTTAAGGGTCTTAATACATGCTTGTGCTTGCGCTGTTGATTTTCTAGTAGATATCGACGTTAAGCAACCAACAATCAATCAATCTAGCAGATATGAATAAAAGGAAATGTAGGGGCATATGTAAATTCGATAGCAGCCAAGTGACACAATATAAACAAAAAAAATCTGTAAAGGAATATACTGTCTGCAACATTAGAAAAGCTTCTTAAAGCCATATACACAGCTAAATTACTTTTGTAGCTTTATGTTCTATTTTCAGTACAAAAAAACTAAAAAGAAAAAACTAATATAATTTTTTTTCTATTGTGCGTATGTTGAAGGTTTGTCTTACAAAAAACAGAATTTACAAAAAAACATACGGGGCATATACATTAAGACTATAAGTCTTTGAAGATCGCGAAGTTAACGTAACGCCGAAACCTACAAAGAAAATAAAACGTCTATGTGGTGGTGTTGTAGCGTGCTCGGCTGGAATGCGGAAGATCGTGGGATCGATGGTTTTTGTTGCTTCTCTAGTAGGGCAGTATATGCTCATACGTCCTTTCACAAGAGTTCAACCCTAGTTTTTGGTGGAGTTCGTGCTGCTCAGTCTTTAGTTTTCTCTGTAGTTTTTTGTGAATTTATTTTTCTTTTAGCGTATTTCGACTTTGTCAGTTTCTGTGGACTTTTCCTTTTAGTTTTGAATGTCCCTATAGTTTTATCAGCTCCCTCTTTGTTTTCTTCCTCTTACACATAAGCTATTTAGTAGTAAGAGCAAAAAAAAGTTCGATTCGGTGTCAGAATAACGAGTCTGGAAGGCGTGTCATTTTAGCACGTTCAAAATTCGGTTCAGCGTGACGATCTTGTAAAAAGCAGGGTTCTAATTCATATGGCAATACCATGTTCATGTCCTGATATGCATGTAGTATTCATTTAACTGAATGTTAAAGTCCCAGACCATTTCTATCCGAAATAATAAAAAAAAAAATGAGAACACAACTGTATGAATAATAATCAAGATATTATGTTCTAGATTCAAAAATAATATTGCACCCACCATCCTTTGGGTTCCTTCTTTTAATATTGGTGTCTGAAAATAGATAAAAGAATTTATTTATAATTGATAATTGAACCTTTGAAGCTATATTTTGTAATTCAAAAGTGATATTTCTGCACAAACTGAAACATATCTTAAGATCGAATAAACTACCAAGTCAGGAGCCTCTGGTCTTTGTTAATCTTGTATGTTTTTTTTTAATTTTAGTTCATTTATATGTTTTGGAGTTTAGTGTGATGTCCATTTTCATTGAACTAGTACACATTTTTGTTTAGGGGCCAGCTGAAGCCCGCCTCCGGGTGCGGAATTTTCTCACTGTGTTGAAGACCTATCGGTGGCCTTCAGCTGTTTTCTGCTCTATGGTCGGGTTGTTGTCTCTTTGACACATTCCCCATTTCCATTCTCTATTTTACTTAAACTACTTAAATACATATGTGCCATGTTCAGATTAGAAAACATTTGTATTTTGGAATGTTTTTTTTTACTGTCTGTAGCAGTAATGCTCTCTCACTGAAGTCATTGTCATGCACATTGGATACCTACCATTAAATAAAGGTTTGAAAAAATAGATCAGGTACGTGTAGTTATTTTTGTAGGGTCCCTTTGCTTATAGTTCATTGTGTATTCAACTGTCAAGAGCTTTGACTGTTCTTAAATTTTGCCCCTGTCATGCAGATGTCAAGCCCCTTTTATTTGATCGTTATCAAGAAAATCTCATTGTATGAACAAGTATAATTATGTTATTTATCAAACATTCGTCGGTTTATACAGCGTGAATTGATCAGGACAATTAATCAATGATTATATTCTTTTGTTTACATCTATAAATATCAACAAAAGAACAAATAGAAACAAAGGAGCCAAATTTTTGTAATAATGAACATCGATGGAAAAAGACAACAAATCATATTAGTTCAGAAAACCAGATATTGCACCCCCCTTTTTTCCCTCAAACCCCCCCCCCCCCCCCAAAAAAAAAAAAAAAAAACAACAACCATGAAGTATAAGTGTAAGAAATGCAATAAAATAAAGAACAACAACTAAGGAACTCATAATTGATACCACAAATAAAATAGGTAAATTAGCATTACACAAAAATTTGTAAGCACAAATACTCCCAATTAGTTGGCAATTCTAAACGCCATGCGTTCGAGTATAAAACAAGTGTAAGTAAGAGTTAGGTGTGAGCCAAGGCTCCGCGTTGAAGGTCATACTTTGACCTATAAATAAATAATTTATTAGCCTCCTATTGGAGAGTATATAACAAAGCAAAGACAATTACAATTAATCATATACAAACAACACGAGTTATGATTTACACAAAGACAGTTAATAAAGACGGGATCACGACGAAAAGTTCAATTAAAAACATATGTGCTTTAAATTTTTTTAAAGATAATTTGTGTTCTACTAGTAGCAGTTGCAGTTCTGTAACAATTTACAAGAATTGTAAATAAAATTTACACACACAAA